AAATAGATAAGAAGATTAAGTTCAAGAGATCTATTACAACATGGTGACTACAGTTAATAAAAATATATTGTATACTTAGAAAGTGCTAAATGAGTAGGTTTTAAGTGTTCCCACTACAAAAAAATAAGTAAGGGAGGTAATTCATATGTTAAATATTAATAGCTTGATTTAGTCATTGCACAAATGTATACATATGCGCCATAAATATATACACTTTTTACTTGTCAATTAAAAAATAAGTAATGTTAGAAATTTTAAAATACTATGAGGGGTGCCATGAGAGAACAGTGGAGAAGCATCTAAGTCAATGTCAAGCAAAGATGAGCAAACTTTTTTGGTAAAGACTCAGATAGTAAATATTTTAGGTTTTGTGGGCTACCTTGAGTTTGCACCAATGACTTAATTCTGCCATTGTGGGGGAAAACAGCCAAAGACAATGAGTAACCAAATGGAAGTGACTGAGTTCCAGTTAAACATTATTTACAGAGAGGGAGGACAGGGTTTAGCCCCAAGAGCTGCAGCTGCCAGTTCCTGGTGTGACCTAGAGCCTCAGGACAAGCCTACTGCAGCAGTGTAATGCTTGAGCGTTGCGTCTTAAAGGGTCAGTCAGGAAGATGGCGGACCAGAGACACCAGCTGCCAGATAGTCTCAGAAAGAAGGACAAGTTTTAGATGAAAAAGAATAAACAAACAAACAAACAAACACAGATCAGGTACAATCCCAAGGGAAACATGGCAGAACCTACCAGAGACTCCATGGGAAGAAGTTGTGAAGCAGAACAGGAAGGAGCAAGGTATCAACAGAAATAAACCCCTGAGAGGCCTGGAGTCCACTGAGAAGGGTAGGTGGAGTGGTTTGTTTCTTCACTCCTCGTATCTCTGATGGACAGTGGATTCTTGAGCTGCTGGAGGGACCTTCTGCCCACATGACCCCAAGGCTGCTGCCACCAGTGAGCTAGGAGCTTCCTACAGACAGGGCACCAGGCTCCCGGCCACCCTGGGGTGCTTCCTGTCCCACAGAATCTAGCCAGGATGGCAAGCACCATATTGCTTCTCCACCCACCATTGCCTTTGTCCTTTCCAGGGGGCTTCCACTCCTCAGGTTTCATCTTGCTAATTCCCACAAAGCATTTCCCAACTTTGGCCCAGATTGTAGGAGCCACAGGGATCCAGCAAGTCCCTGGTGACCTTCATGACTCCACTGCCTGGACATTCTGGGTGGGTGGCCTCCCAGGGGAGGGATGGGCACAACCAGAGAGCTATTCTTTCCTCCCTCCAGACTCTTTTCTCCCCTTCTGCTCCCCAACCCTTGGCTGCTGAGAGAGACAACTGAGACACCACACTGAGGCTTCTGCAGAGAGTGGGCTCAGAACTTTCCTTCTGTGGAACTATAGTGTACTGAGGGGTGCTTGGACTGTGAGCTCACTGCCTGCTGGCCCTCCCTGGTGTTGCTTGCCTGGCAACTCCATCAGAGTGGGGCTCACCTGAGGAGGAGGGACATTGAACCTGCTTGGACACCCTGCAGGCAAATTGGGACCAGTGTGTATCTCCCTGGCATGGTCGGGGATTGATTTTGGGGGACCCAGGGACAGACTCGCAGGCCAGATCCCATATCCCCAGGTCTCAATCACATTGTTTAGGGCAGGGAGGGGAGATTAGTGAATTAGTCTTGGGAGACGAGGGAACTTGCTCGGGCAGATCGGCGGGGGGGGGGGGGGGGGGGGGAGAGTGCAGTATGGATCCTAGCTGCAGTGTGCTCACAGGGAACTTCTCCCCTCACAGGAGGGTCGCTCTCTCAGCTAAGGCCAGACTCCTGGGCAGGGAACTCCCATCCCACATCATAGTCATAAGGGATCCTGGCTGGCTTGAGCTCCTGACTGCCAGAAGATGCCAGGGGGGGAATCCTCAGAGCAGGGGAGGCTGGAGAAGAGTAAGGCTGGCTCCAAAGTGCCAGGGTGTGAATCTCAGGCAGCTCTGCCTCTACAAGCAGACTTTCTGATTAGGTGGGGCCACTTCAGCCCCTCCCTGGTGGCTTTGCCCAGAAGCTGGGAGCAGAAAATTGATAAAGAAACACTGGACTTAAATGAGACCTTAGAGCAAATGGCCCTACACTACAAGGCTGTAGTAACCAAAATACTATGGTACTGGCACAAAAATAGAAACATAGACCAATGGAACAGAATAGAGAACCCAGATATAAAACCATCATCATAGTGCCATCTGATCTTTGACAAAGTAGACAGCAATATACACTGGGAAAAAGAATCCCTATTCAATAAATGGTTCTGGGAAAATTGGACAGCCATGTGTAGAAGATTGAAATAGGATCCATATCTCTCATCATTCACAAAAATTATTCAACATGGATCACAGCCTTAAATCTAAGACGTGAAACCATAAGAATTCTAGAAGAAATGTTGGAAAAACTCTTCTAGATATCAGCTTATGCAAAGAATTTATGCAGAAGACTCCCAAGGGCAATCACAGCAAAAAATAAATAAATGGGACTTAATTAAAGTAAAAAGCTTTTGCACAGCTAAGGAAACAATCAACAGCAAATAGACAACTTACAGAATGGAAGAAAATATTCACATGGTATACACCTGAGAAAAGTCTAATAACCAGAATCTACAAAAAACTCAAGCAAATTAGCAAGAAAAAAGTCAAACATTAAAAGTGGGCAAAAGACACGAACAGAAAATTTTCAAAAGAAGACAGACAAATGGCCAATAAACATGAAAAAATGCTCAATAGCACTCATGATCAGAGAAATGCAAATGAAAACCACAGTGAGTTATCGCCTAACTCCGGTGAGAATGGCTTTTATTAAAAAGTCCCAAAACAACAGATGTTGGCATGGATGCGGAGAGATAGGAACACTTACCTACTGCTGGTGGGACTGCAAACTAGTGCAACCTCTACTGAAAATAGTATGGAGATTTGTCAAAGAACTAAAAATAGACCTACCATTTGATCCAGCAATCCCAGTACTAGGTATTTACCCAAAGGAAAAAAAAGTCATTTTATCAAAAAGACACCTGCACTAGAATGTTTATTGCAGCACAATTGCAAAGATGTAGAATCAACCCAAGTGCCCATCAATTCATGAGTGGATTAATAAAATGTGGTATATGTATACCATGGAGTACTACTCAGCCATAAAAAGGATAAGTTAATACCTTTTGCAACAATCTGGATGGAACTGGAGATTCCTCTAAGTGATATATCTAAGAAATGGAAAAACAAGCACCACAAGTACTCACTATTAAATTGGAACTAACCCATCAGCCCTCTTGTGCACACATGGAAGTAAAAACTCAAGAGAAATCATGCAAGTGGGAGGGCACAGGAGGAAAGTAACGAAATCATACCTAACAGGTACAATGTACACTATCTGGGTGATGGGCATACTGATAACCTCGACTCAAGCAGTACAAAAGCAAGCCATGTAACCAAAACATTTGTACCTCATTAGTATTCTGAATGTTTTTTAAAAAAGGATCAGTCAGAAACTGAAGCTCTGAGTTTTTAGAAACTTTTCAGCCTTTAACTCAATGTTTATAATAACAACAGAATTTTGACACTGCATATTCCAGACTTGGAAAGGCCAGTCCTGAAGAGCCACAGGGCGCTGAGTCATCAGAGAAAGGCTGGAAAATGGAGAGAATGAAGGAGCCTAAAGGAGCCTGAATGAGCCAGGGAGCCTGAGGCTTAATGGAGTTTTTCTCCAGTCCTGGTGAACCTCAAATAAGGGTCAAGAACTTTGCGTGCAGCCAGCAGAAGCTCCAGCCCTTTCATCTACACACCATGGTAAGCACCTGGTACTTCTGTTCTGGCAGTTATTTTGTCAAAGTAAATCTGATGTGTACACGTCACCCTCCCCTTAGAGACTATCGCAAACTGAGTTTCTGAAGAACAGGAAGCATGTCTTTTTCTTAGTTGAAAATAGCATCTACTATGTATTTTTTTCCTTTGGTTTCTCTTCTGCCTGATGCTTCTTAGGCACAGACCTGTTTCTCTGCAGAAAATAACTCACTGTTCAGCCTGGAAACCACACTCCAGCTGCTGCAAGAAGCATTGCTGAAAGCATTTAGAGTTCTAAGTGACAGCCAGTAGGAGTTGTAAAAAATGTGACTGGGAAAAAGAAATTTGAGCTGATACCATGTCCTCCAGGGGATGATTCCAGGATGGAAGAGTGAGAGCAAACTCTTTGAGAATCAGTCACAGGGCAGAAAAATGCCCTGTGGGAAAACCACTGTGGGAGTAGATCTTGGGGTGGGTGGGGAGGCAGAGGGTAGGGATGGATGACTTTGAATAGCTACTGTTGCTTCTTCTTTCCTAGGTCACTCCCTATGGCACATGGCCACTGTCATTCCTCCCACCACCATTAAGGGACAGCAGCGTTGCAAAATCCTGCACTCCTTACCTCTGAGAGGCTCCATCACTGCTCACTCTCTTGTGGCATTTTTCCTGTTTGTTATATGTACTTTTACATAAACAGACCCATATACAGACCACCAGCCAGAAAAAGCAATAATTATGACCTGCTTAGATCTTAAGTCAACTGAAGGTTCCAGCATGTATCAACCACAGCTTCCCCACCCCACCCCAATTCCATCTCCAGCTTCTGCACACATCAAATTGTCACCATTTCTTCACTGCAGTCTTATACCCAAGACTTGGTGCAAACTTTACCTAAGAACCCTTCTCCATTCTCCAGGAAATTTTGCCATCATCTTCTCCATTTGTACACATGGTACTTTGTGCAATTTTTTTTTAAAAAAATAATATCGTTATTACAGCACTTTGGTGTTTTTAAACATCGCATCCTTCATTGGACTATGAACTTTTCCATGTCAGGATACATATCCTACAGCCTACAATAGGCATGCAATCAATATTTGTTGAGGAAATAAATAATAAAAGAATAGACCAAGTAAAGACGTGTTGGATTCAATGAGTTTTAAATTGAAAATAAAAGAACAGGATATGGGCACTCACCAAACTGAAAATCGGTATTCCTCTAGTTCCTCCAAGTAAGACAGATCCCGTGAAAAATCTCCAGGTTCTCCAGTTCTCCAAATAGTTGATTTTTCCTTCTCAGAATGATCAGTCAGGCTATTCCCCTTGTCAGAGAAATTAAGAAATGAAAAATGAAAGAATGAAGTATTTTATTAATAGCAGATAGAAGGTTCACCTGGTTTCAGTGACATTTTCCACAGAATGACTTATAGAATAATTGATCATGAAGAAACATCATTGGCCCTAATTTTTACATTGAAATTAGTGTTTCAGACCCCAGATTCTCTCAGTAAATTCTTATGTCTATAATGGTAAATACAACAGTGTGTTCACTTTTTTGTATTATCTCACATAGAACAGCTTCTGTAAATTTTGTTGAAATGAAAAAACCTGCACAACTACAGTTACAGCATGTGTGTTTAATCAGGACTTTTGGTTGCAAGTAAGAGAAACGCAGCTTGAACTGGCTCTCAGCAAAAGTATATGTGAAGGAAGGTTTGAACAACCAGCCTGTAGAGAACAACCAGCCAGCAGAGAGGCAGCTGGACTTCGGAACCACAAGAACCAAGGACTGGAAGGCCACCAAGACTCTCTTCACCTCTGTTCTCTGCTTCAGCAGGTCACTTTATTCTAGCATTGTCACCAGTAGCTCCTGAGTCCCATAGCCTATGACTATCAACAGCATAAATTTAAGTTCAGGACTTATATAATGTCTGTGGAGCTAATTTACTGGAACTTGAGAGACTCGTGTGAGTCATGATGGTATATCCAAAAGACAGACTGAGCCCTGTAGTTCAACCGAGGATTGTTGGGAGCTCTGTTACCATAGGGAGTAGGGAGAGGGGACAGCTAACTAACCTAGTGGGGCTTTTCCTCCCTCTCTCACCAAAACAGTTCAATTTCTGCCTGTTTGATATATTGGGATCTCCTGTAAGATTTTATTACAAAATGCTACTGATAAAAAAATAATTTGAAAACTGCTAGCCTGGAGAAGTAGAAAATTAGGCATGGCTTGCATTTACAAGATAGCCCTGTTGAAATTCTTCTATCCTTTTCTTTAGATTCTTCTTAAATGTTTTTAAACAGTATTTGTAAGAGGCCAGTTGGTTGAAATTCACCAATATCGGTTCATATAAGTTTCAGCATGACTCTGGAAACCACACTCCAAATCACAAAATGCAATTGCAAAATGTTGCTTTGAGTTGACAATTGTAGTAACCAGGAAAACCTTAGAGTAAAACCCAGGTGAAGTAGATATGTCATCAAATACCTGGAGAACTCAACAAGGCTCATTTCTTTCATTAGGAAATTAATTGATTTGATTACCTTAAGAATAAAATCCAGTTATGGCAGTCATCAATTTAAAATACCTTTCATTATGGCCCTTTCATCTTTCTTAGCTTCTAGAGCTCCTATACCAATAAAAGTATTTTTGATCAGATTTTTCAATGTTGGTATTTTTAATTACTCCATTCCTAAAGTAAATTAAAGAGTACTGAAAATTCTTGAAAAAATGAGAGCTTTTAGTTGTCCCAGCTAAATATATTTGACTGGCATACCTTGCCAGACTGCTGAAAATATGCCTTTCTAGCTATTTAAATTTAATGGCATTTCTTTATGAGTTGCTCAGATATTCAGTCTCACTTGACAGAAATTTGAAATGGCTACCAAGAACTACACTGTAGATTTGGTTTCCCCACTAAAACTTCTGATTTGTTAAAGTATAGGTGCTTCATAATACAGGGCATTAAATTGCTTTCTATTTGGTTAATTTATGAATATCTGCACTGTTTCTTCAAACTAAATTCCTGGTGGAAATGGGATGTAGCATATTTCTTTGTACCTTTTACAGCACCTAACATAGTAGAGGTTCAAGAAATAGCTGCTAGGCCATTTCCTAGTAGCTACATTTTCCTAAGTACCTACATTACAATAACAACTGTAGACATTATCGCTAGTTGCAAAGTCATTCTTTAACACCTGTGAATTCTATAAATTGCAAAAATTATCTGAACCTTGATATTTTCTTTAAGGAATACCTAAATTAATGCAATAAAATATCCTTCAGACGGGTTTTTTGTGAGATATAAAATCATGGAAAATAGTTCATCTCCAAAGAAATGAACCACAAAAAAAGAATAAAAGCACAAAGAAAGAAGAGGTTTGATTTCAAAAAGGAGGTAAACGTGTGGAGGGAAACTCCCAGGTGAGTACCAGGGAGTGTGAATCGGTTCATGTGGAGGCACTCTAATAATCTAAACAATCCACCAAGCACAAAGTTGTATCTTAAATCTATGCCTAAAAAATAATGCTTTACAATATTGTCAACATTCAAAAGACAGCAAACATATGCTCTAGCCCATTACAACTAAAAGTCCCATCTGTATCCTGAAACCAAAGAACATCATCATGAAAAAAAAGATGGAGAAAGATAAATTGAATATCTATACTTTAAAAGATAAATTGGTGGTGCAAATTTATTCTAGAACAGCACATTGTATATATATTACGTGTATAGATACTCATATTCTGACCCACTACAGAAGTCAAGAACAAATATTTAAACATAAATTTTAAACAAAACCAGACTCTGGTTTTGAAGTTCATGAACTGAAAATTTGGTTTTTGGATATTGCCATTCAAACACAACATTGGCTAGGAAACAATGAATGAGCAGTCTTCTAAACACATCATATATTGAGAGGCAAAAAATGTTTTAAGAAATTTTGAAAACCTAAAACATATAGTGTTACAGTGAAAAGAGTAGTCAGAAGATGGTCAGAAGACACATGCAAGTCTTCCTACTACTTTGTGAATTTAGATGAATTATTTAAATTCTACAAACTGAAGAGTTTTAACTTGAAAATGGAGACAGTATTTATCCTACACAGCAGGATTCTTGTGAAGACAACCTCAGATTTGTACGTGTGTGTGTGTGTGTATGTATATATAATTTATGTACTTATGTAATTCTTCTGGGATGAGAGAATAGCACTTAAATGCTTTAGAATATTAATGATAAAGTAGTATCTGGTACCGTATATGGTACAGCAGAGATGATCAAATGAATGTTTAACATCATTTCCTGTGCATTTATTATGGCATTTGTATTAAGTTAATGTAGAAAATCTTATGTAGAAAATCTTATAGGAAATAAGTCTCAAAGTTGTCCAAGTTCGTGACATATAAGCCTATTTAATTGTACCACATCATATACAGCAAAGCTCAGAGTTCCTATATAGAGTTTAGAGGTTTTCGCCCCTTTGCCATAATATTCCTTTCATGGGCCAGCCATTTGGTTCTTGGAGAAGGGTGAGGTTGTCGGAACCAGTGGCAGGTAAGTGTGTGTAGAGACAGCTTGCAGTTCACAGGCAGTGACACCAGCACAGAGGAAAAGCATTACGATGTCAGCACAGTTAAGCTCTACTTAGCAACAGCATTTCTTCCTCAAACCCCTTGTGGGGTCTTTGTGTGGGTCTCTGAGAAGAACTGTTCACCTGCCCATCTGGCCAGATGAAGGGCAAAGGGATTGTTTTCATCAAAAGAGAGAGCCTTAGAAAGAGGAAACAGTGAATAAAGGGCTGAATCCCGAGGATTACAAATGCTTTTGAACTGCCTGGGAAGAGCAGAAGTGAGCAGCCGTGGAAGCTTTAACATCGGTCCGAGTGATGCTCACACGTTTTTTTAGGAAGGCAGGGAGGAAGGTTTGGGGTGGAGACACTTTGCTAAGAGGCTTGTGTTGATAAGATCATAGAATTGTAAGTCACAGATAACCACAACAAATACCAGGTGCATCTGAAATATCAAAGCAAATAAATAGAGCACCACGTTCATTTCCGTGGGCGCTGTTATCAGCCCCCCAAAAAGTCACAGCTCCGAATTGAATCCAGCCTAGGTCCTGAGAACATCCAGCAGGAATACTCTTTCCCCTTTCTTTTAATTCATGTGCGATGTGTTTACCAGCGAACTTTACAGGACGGGCTTCCACTGACTGTATGCAGGGGAAAACGAGACGGTGCTGGCTATATAGCTCAGGATGTACCTGGAGAGACGCCTCACTTACGGAGCGCCCTCGGGCTTCTGTTTCTGTTCACTGAAGGACAACTAGCATCCCTGGCTGCTTGGGAGAAGTTTAGACTATTCTCTGATCATTTTCACGTGAAAAATTTATGCTTCACCTTTCAAGTTCAATATTAACTTCATTTTCACACAGCCCCTCTATGAATTGCCTAGGTTAAAGTCCTTAAAATTAATTGAAGATTCAAATTAATTTCTGATACCAAGAGAAGATGGGGGGGGAATAAAATGCTTACATGGGAGCACAGAGTCTCAGATTGATGCTGTTTATTGTCAAGAGAGTGGTATGTCTATACTTAGTGGTATAACTGCCCTTACCCACAGCACTAAGTTTCTTATAACTTGGGTGATTCTGCTTCTGTCTGCATATGCTGCTTTTGAAAGCCAGAGTTAAGATACCCTTCCAACATGCCTGACCCCCAGGGAAGAATTTACTCTCCCTTGTAATTGACTCATAAGTTTTGGAATATAATATTAAAAATAGAATGAAAAAGAGAACTCATTAATTGAACATGTCAACTCAGAAAATATAGAGAAGAATTTTAAGTTTTTAGGGTGAATATATTATTCATTCCCACCTTGCCTACTTTAGCCTTGCTTCTAACCCCAAAGTTTAAGGTCAACAACTGGTATGAGAATTTTATAAAAATATTTAAAAGTCTAATATTGGATCTATAATATTCTTGAAGTCTTATGAACACATATCCTTTCTTTAATTTCCCAAAGAGCATACACACAAGTACCTAATACATAATACTTACTAAAATGATGTGAGGTTTACTTCACCATTTTTTTTTCCCCTTCCTAAAGGATTGCCCCTAGGCTTCTATATTCTAGCCTTTAAATTAAGGCTATAGGAACCAAAAAGTAGAAAAAATAAACCTGACTGAGAAGATAAAGGAATATATAGCTGTTTTTTGAAAGGGTTATTTCATGATTGATACAAATATGGATTGTAGAGAGAGAGAGTCTGGGTTCAAAGGCAGCTATACACTTTTTCAATGTAATTTTTGCTAACTTACTTTATCTCTTGATTCTCCATTTTTCTCACCTGTAAAATGGGGTTAATGATGATAATAATAGTATCATCACCCATTAGTTTGTTCTGAGAATGAGTTATTTGATGTGGACTGAGAATATTTGCCAGTACCTAGTAATTTCCTTACACTCAGTAAATGTTATCTCTTACTGTTACAAATGTCACTAAAATTTGATTTCTAAGCTTTCTTCTTTAATACAGACTGTGCTATAGGTCTTCAATATAGCAACAATCACTGTTGTACATGCTATAAGTAGTCATCTAGACATTAAAACTCAGTCATTTATTTCATTAGATGGTGATCCACAAATTAGAGATGGGAAAAAAAAAAGACTTTAAAGTCAGTCTTGAGAGCAAAGCATGAAAGTTGGTTTTATAGACTATATTCCTTAAGTCAGGAAAGTAGAGAATTAAAATAATGATTCAGATAACTCCTACAAAGAGGGAGACCAGTTGGGGTGAACAATCATCTCACTTCAATTTTCTAACCAGGCTAAATCTGAATACTTAAAACTAGAAGTCACTTGGTCTAGGTAGATATAAATTTTGCAAATGGTTAATTGTCTAAAAACTGCATCTGGTAATATCAGTAAATTAAATTCAGCCAATGTTTTGGAAATCCAGCCTACTAAATTTATGTAAGTTTATCGAGAGATTGTTTCCATACAGATTTCATGGCAGCCAGGATCATGCCAAATAAGTCACTGTAACACAGCACAATCAGAACATTTTCTGATCACGCTGCCCAAGTTGAAAAGACTCTATAATTATGGACTGATTCATTTAACTAAAGTCTTCAATAGCTTGAAGAAGTCTGATTGCAATGTAATAGAAATTTATTGCCATTGCTTATTTCTTGAACAGCAGCTGCTTTAGAATATCCTGCACTTTAAAACCTGCTTTGAAGACCAAATTACTTTCTACCTGGAAATACATTTTAAGACATCGTCATTAATCATCAGGGCCTGATGTTTTCATGGTCTTTCTGAAGACAACCTCTACAGCCTTCAACTTACCTTAGAATGTAATTCATGGTCTTCTTTTAAGAGATTGAGATCACAATCCATAGGGCAGGGATCAATTTTATGAGAAATGCTCCCTAGGGTTAAAACCAAAAAGGTGGGAAAAAAATTACAAATTTTCACTTCAGATGATATGTAAGCATATACTGCTAAAATCTAAGAGTTTACAAAAGGCCTGCCAAGTGGGGCTACAAAATATAATTCTAACAAGGAGGCTCCAAGCTGTTCTAAGTCCCAGTTTCGATGTATTCAGTGTCTGAACTTCAAGTGGAACTCTCAGCCGCACTTGGGGGTGTAATGCACAAGCAGCTCTGTGTCTGTTTCCCCCCCTTATCCAGTAGCATTCTCTAGCATCATCAGCTATGTTTCTAATCACATTTTCAAAGGCCCCCTGCACCTCGTATCAATGGGTCCAGTAAAAAACCTTGAGATTAGAGGTTTTGTTCTCTGCCCTCATCTAGTGCTTCTCACCTGAGCTACCTTTTTCATATCCTTCATGACCTCTTTTAGGTCAAGGTTTCTCACTCTCAGCACGATTGACTTCTGGGCCTGGGTAATTCCTGGTTGTGGCGGCTGTCCTGTGCTTTGTTTAGCAGCGTCCCTGGCCTCTACCCAGCGAATGCCAGCAGCACTGCTCCCCTCCCCAGCCCTCTTGCTGCTTACACTTGTGACAACCAGAAATGTCTCTGGACATTGCCGGGTATCCCTTGGAGCGGCGGTCCCCAACCCTTTTGGCACCAGGGACTGGTTTCGTGGAAGACAATTTTTCCACGGATGTGGGACTGGAGAAGAGTCCGAGCTCAGGCAGTGATGCGAGCGCTGGGGAGGGCGGCTGTAAACATGCTTGCCCGATGCTCACCTACCGTGCGCCCGGGCCCGCTGGGTTCCTAAGTTTCACAGAAAACAATTTTTCCAAGGACTAGGGGCATGGAGAGGTGGCGGAGGAGAGTTCTGCAGCCAGTCCGAGGTGGGATTGGGGACTGCAGCCTTGGAGGACAAAACGTCCTCAGTGGAGAGCAATGTTCTAGGTTGCAAACTCCTTGGAGACAATGTGTCTTGGTCACCTTTGTTTCTCTTGTAATATGTTTGCCACAGTCCCTGACACAGAGAACTTTCGCAACAAATGTTTCTTGAATGAAAAATAAATAAATGGCGCTATCACATACATGGGCATCACTGCAGCTGTGTACCTCTCAGGTCACGGGCTTGACCTCTCAGTTCAGAACTCCTATGCCAAGATCGGTCCCCAGGGTCTTGTGACAAATACCCTGCCTGGCCCAGAAGCTGCTAGAGCTTGGAGAGCCACAGCTTTGATGAGGAGGTTAACCTAATGCTTGTTTTTCAAAAAGGATACATGTTACCCTGAGCAGTCAGAGCTTTGTTTCTGTCCTCCAGAGACTGAATGCTGCTGCTATCCCCTGCCGTTTGGAATTGCCCTTGTAGGGCAATGGGATCTCAGTAGTATAAAGCTTTGAGGACATGAGCTCCATGCTTCAGAAAGCTTTTCCTCTCTAAGGATGACCCCAGCCTAGTCTGTGTGGCTCACACATTTTGGAAAGAGATGGTGTCATCGTTTGGTTTTTTACCCTGCTGCCAGTTCACTGTGCCAAGCTTAAGGCAGATACTGGGAAATCTCCTTCTTAAGGGAAGCCAGATGCATCAAGCCTCCCTCCCCTGAGATGCCTGGTCTCATCTGTGGGATGAGATCACAGAAACCTTGGGAAGAGCTTCTCTACTTTTGAGTCTAAAACAGAATTTGTTGGCAGGGAGGTTGTTATGGTCAAAATCAAGAGAGAAAGGAAGGAAAAGACATGGTAATGTATTAAATAGGAAACATTTGTATTTAGGTTCTGAATGTATTATTCTTTTCAAAGCCTTATAATTCATTCTTAGTGTATAGCTGCTACCTGGAATACCAAATGTGATATAATAGAATGTATTATTTTAGTATATTCTAAGACTATATATATATATATATATATATATATATATATCTTATGTTATTTACTTAACACACACACACCCTAACTGTTAAAATAGTGATTGCCCCATTTGACAGATTTGGAAATTGAGGCTCAAATCAAAGAACTTCCCTCAAATCAGACAACTAATTAGCGAAAAATCTGAAATTTAGTCTCAATTCTATTAGACCTCAAAGCCCATGCATTTAATCCTTCTGTTGTACCTTCCCTGAGAAACTGTACCCCATTTTCTACTTACATACATTTTTAAACTTTGGACAATGTATTCATTTTATTGCTCCTGGAACAAATTACCACCAACTTAGTGACTTAAAGCAACATCCATTATCTTGCATTTTTTTTGTGTATGTGGCTCAGAATTCTGGGCATAGCATAGCAAGGCTCATCTGGTTTCTCTACGTAAGTGTCACAAGACCAAAATCAATGTATCAGCCAGGACTGAAGTTCTCATCGGGTCTTGGAGTCCTCTTCAGGTTTGCTGGTTGTTTATAAGATTAATTGTCTTCTCACACTTTCCATGTGGCCCCATCTACCTTCAAGTCAACAGCAGCAGATCGTGTCCTTTCCACGAAGCTCTCTAACTTCTATTCTGCCACCCAAGAAAGCTCTCTGCTTTTACGGGTTCATGTGATTAGTTTAGGTTCACCCAGATAATCTCCCTTGTGACTTGTATGACTTATTAGAGCTTGTAAATCTTTGGAGGACCATCTTAGAAATTCTTCCTGGTAGGAATAATTTCTGACTTAATGGAACTTATATCCTCATATGTTATTAAAATGTAGTAATGTTATTCATGTTAAGGTAATAAAGTCCCTATCAAAGAAATAGATTATGAGAAGTCTTTAATATTTTCTTTATTCTTATGTAAAATGTTCTTTGCTCTAAAACTGACCTTCCTATCTATAAAAATATATAATCATATATAGACATTAGATAATTATTTATGTTATATAATAATGTACATTATATAATTATACATTATATAAATGTATATATAATACAATTTTTAACTCATTGTGATCATAACATATATATAGTTTGCATCCCTCTTTATGCTTAATATTAATATACTGTGTTTATTACTTGCTATTAAATATTCCCCAAAGTATGATTTTTAATCACTGAATATTAGTACATCATATGGTTTCATTTAACTATCCTCCTCTGGTTAGATATTTATATCATGTTGGACAAATTTTAGAAAAAAATTAATCTTCATCTGTGCTGATTTTCTTAAAATGAATATCTAGGATCAGGAATACTAAATCAAACACTTAGAATTTTTGCCTTTGCACTACAAAAACAATTCTAAAAATTCATACTGCAACCAACAATGTAGGAAAGTACCCAATTATCCACATGCCTGCCAAAACTGTCAACATATTTTTCAGTTTTGCCTACTTAGTAGACAAAATAATAACATTACATTTTTATTTTAATCTGCAATCTTGGAAATCTAATGAATCTGAATATTTCTATGTTTGCTGAGCATTTATGCTTTTTATGTTATAAATTTCCTCCTATGCCAGTTCCCCATTTTTTTTCAGCTGGAATAGTTAGCATTTTCTTTGTAATTTGTATCTTCCCATATTGAAGATGTTAACTCAGCCTTATATGATAGTTCAAAATATTTTTCTCAGTTTAAAGTGTCCCTTTTTAATTTTTTTGAAAATTGTGTGCTTGTGTGTGCGTCCGTGTGGATGTGTGTGTGTTAAGATGTAGTTTTTAGTCGTATGTAGACACGTGTATCAATGTTTTCCTTCGTTGTTTCTCCTTTTGCCTGTAAGCTTACAAAAATCTTTTCATACTACATAATCAAACCGTGCATAGATAGACTGTAAATAAATAAAGAAATCATGAGGTTCCTGCATGATTTTCTTGCATACTTTCCCACTCCCAGGTGAGCAGCCATGACACCTGGGCCCTGCCGACAACTCAGGCTCAGATGTGCAAAACACAGTTGAGCCTATTCTTCCGTTTTTGTGATACCTCACTTTGGAGGATGGGCTCAAGCTCTATCCAGGAGAATATAAGAGGTGCTATGTACTTGCCATCATATTGGCACTAACTGATCAACACTACGGTGCGTACCTGGTAGTAATATTCTCCAAGGATTAGGGGGTTGGGGAGGGGGGTAAACTCACAACAAATGGATGCAGTGAGCATTGTAGAGGGGAAGGACATGCCTCTAATCCTCATTTAGGTGAGGCAAAGTCATAAAATGTAACCAAAATGTTTGTACCCTCATAATATCCTGAAATGAAAATAAATTTAAAAAAATATTTAAAAAACAAACCACAGTTGACCTGCATCCCTTTTGGGGGGCTCCTTCCTTACATTTCCTATTTCTTTCCATGACTTTGCTCTTCTCCAAGCCATTCTGATTCAAACATTTTCTGTCTTCCATGAATTTTCCTATTCTATTGCCACCCACATCTCATCATTGCCACATTCTCTTCTTTCTCATCAGTTTTATGGCTGTTCTTTCCTCTCTGGCCTGAGCCTTCATCACATCCCAGCTCAGCAGGTGCAGGCAGATGGAGCTAGATAGATAGGAAGCTATAGGCAGAGGGTTAGGTAGATAGATAGACATACAGATGGACAGGTAGGTAGGTAGATACATAGATACATAAATAGATGATAAAGATGAGGACTTTTAACTGAAATGGAATCATCATGCTGTATGCTTTTCTATAAACTTGTGTTTTCATTCAATAAGAAATTATGGTCATCTCTATGAGTTGTAACTATGCATGTAATTTTTTTTCTTAAAATGGCTTTTTTCCTTGACCCCACCTTCATATCTTCCATCCACAATCCCCTAACGCCTCTGCAATTCACCTGCCCCCACATAACCCATTTCTCTTCATGTTCATATAACCAGATATGCACACATACAGATTAACTGATGGACATATACATTTATAGAGGTATTTTTCATCCTTGCATAAAAAGATTATATATTTTACATGCCTCCCTGTATTTTCCTCACTCACTCAATAATATCTGATGAAATTCCTTTCCAGTCAATAATTATAGCTCAAATTTATTCTTTTCAATGGCTGTATGTTATGGTACAATTGTAGCATAATTTA